CCGCGAAAAGAAAACCTGACTGCCGCTTTCTGGCACTCTTGAATCGCGCCAGGACGCCATTCCCGGGACTTCAACCGTACAACTCCTTGAAACTGGTGTGAGTTTTTAAGACGAATGTGCGCGGCGCTCAACCGAGAGCCACATCTTAAAAACGGAGCCGCCATCCTTGAATACGTTGCATCCTGTCAGACGAGTGCACGCGGCGCCAAGACGAGAACCACATTTTGAAAACGGCCCGCCCTCCATCTGTGAAACACTTGCAAACGATTAAGACGAATGTGCGCGCCGCTACGGCGAGAGCCACATGATGAAAAGGTCCCGCCCTCCATCCGTGAAACTGTTGCAAGCTGTTTAAACGAACGTGCGTTGCGCTACAGCAGCAGGGTAGGTTCAGAATTACAGGTGGGCCAGAGCCACATTTGATCAACCTGCAGCAAGAGCCAGATTACAGGTGTTGGATCAACCTGCAGCCAGAGCCACAGCTGCGCCAAAGCCAGCTACATTTTGAAATGGCCCGCCCTCCATCCGTGAACCCGTTGCAAATTTCAAGGTACAGAACCACAAATGATGAGGAAATCTCAGGCGACACGCCCGACCCGCCCTCTCGACACGTCTGGGGGTGCGACAGGTACGAGTTACGCATGCAAAGAGCAACAGGAATGGAGGAGGAGGAGGAGGAGAAGGAGAAGGAGGAGGAGAAGGTGAGGGAGGAGAGAACGAAGCAGGGAGGAGGGAGAAGGATCTGGGAACCCACCAGAAACCCCTAACACCCGAAAGCCCTCCCCCCTCCTTTCTTCTCCCTCCTCCTTCTCCTCCTCCCCCTCCTCCTCCCCACACCATCCCACATTCTCGAGAGGAGGGCCAGAACCCCCAACCACTGAAAACCCTCCTTCCTTCTCCCTTTTCCTTCTTGGTTCTCCTCCTCCTTCCCCCTCCACCCCTCCCACCTCCTCAACAGGAAGAAAGAGGAACAACGACGAGGAGAAACAGCAGCAGGACGCAGGGCGGATCGGAGACCCAGAGCCCCGCGGGCGCATCTGGCAGGGTTCCCTCTCCCCCCTCCCTCAGCCTCCTCTTCCTCCTCCTCCTCCTCCTCTTGCTCCCTCCGCCGCCTCCTCCTCCTCCTGTGCCCCCTCCTCCTCCCCCTCCTCCTCCTCATCACCATCCTCCTCCTCCCTTCCATCCTCCTCCTCCCATCACCATCACCATCACCATAATCACCACCATCAACAACAACGACCTCATCATATACATAAGTATCATCCTCATCATCATCAGAAGCAGCATCAGCATCATCAGCATCAGCAACATCATCATCACCGTCGTCATCATCATCCGCAGCAGCATCAGCATCAGCATCATCATTGTCATCATCATCATCATAATCGGCACCAGCAGCATCATCATGATCAGCAGCAGCAGCTCATCATCATCACCATCGTCATCATCATAATCATCATCATCATAATCATCATTATCATCATCATCAGCATCATCATCCTCATCATCATCATGATGATCATCATCATCACCATCATCACCATCGGCAGCAACAGCATCAGCGTCAGCGTCAGCAACAGCATCATCAGCATCATCAGCATCATCAGCAGCAGCATCAGGTCATCGTCATCATCATTATCACCATCTGCATAATCATCATCACCACCCGCAGCATCATCATCAGCAGCAGCATAAGCATCACCATCAGCATCAGCAGCAGCAGCATCATCGTCATCACCAACATCAGCATAAACACCACCACCACAACCATCACCACCACCAACATTATCATCATCAACAGCATCATTATTGTTATCGTCATCGTCATCATCAACATTACAATCATCATCAGCACCATCATCATCCATCATCGTCATCGTCCATTATCCTCACCATCATCATCATCATCACCACCACCATCATCATCATCCCCATCAGCATCATCAGCATGGTTGTGTTCCTAGTCCTGCTCTTCGTCCTCTTCCGCCTTCTCAGCATTGGCAACGTCGTCGCCATCATCCTCATCATCATCACTAGCAGCAGCATCATACCCATCATGAGCATCATCCCCATCATCACCATCATCCTCCGCATCATAATCATCATCAGCAGCAGCATCATCATTATCCTTTCCCTCCTCATCATCCTCCTTCAAATCTACATGATCGCAATCCACAGCACCGTTGTCACCAGCAGCACCATCACCATAATCGTCATCAACAGCATCCATCATCAACACCACCACCATCACCCTCATCCCCATCGACGACAGCACCATCAGCACCATCATAATCAGCAGCAGCAGCAGAAGCATCATCAGCAGCATCAGCATCAGCATGAGCAGCGTCATCATCATCAACAGTATCATCATCATCATCATCATCAGCAGCATTAGCACCAGCACCAACATCAGCAGCATCATCATCAGCATCAAAATCATCATTATCATCATCGTCTACAGAATGATCAGCATCGTCATCGTCATCACCATCAACACCACCAGGATCACCCTCATCCTCATCGACAACAGCACCATCATCATCATCATAATCATCAACAGCAGCAGAAGCATCATCAGCATCATCAGCATCAGCACCAGCATCAGCGTCAGCATCCGCATCAGCATCAGCAGCATTATCATCATCATCTACAGAATGAGCATCATAGAAATCGTCACCATCATCAACATCATCAGCATCAGCATTATCTTCATCGTCGTCATCATCAGTATGAGTAGCACCATCATCATCATCAACATCACAGGGATCGGCAGAATTCTCGTCGTCATCATCGTCGTCATAGTCCTAATCGTAAGCATGATCAGCAACAGCCGCAGTTACATCATCATCACCATCATTACCATCATCAGCATCATATCAACCATCTTCATCGTCACATTCGTGATCATTATCAGCATCATAATCAGCATCAGCATCATCAGCATCATCATCATCGTCCGCATCATCATCATCATCGTCATTAGCATCATCAGTACCATCATCATCATCACCATCACCATCACCAGTATCATCATCACCATCAGCATCATCATCATCGTCGTCAGATTCATTTCTCATCTTCCCTCCCTAATGCAATAAAATTCCCTCCTCCGCCTCCTGTTCCTCCGCCTCCTGTTCCTCCTCATTACGCCTTCACTCCTTCATTCCTTCAGTCCGTCCCCTCATCCTCCTCCTCCTCCTCCTCCTCCTCCTTTCTCGTTGTCCCGATGTTGCACGGCGAAGTGCGTAGCGTCGGTCAGAGCACATTCCAAGCACGTCTGATAAAGCAGCTAAAAGACGCAAAGGCTGCCTGCGGAACGGCGGCTGACCTGGACAACCAGAGGCAAAAGCAGGTCAAACAAATTGAGAGCATGGGGGCTCAGAGGAACACGTGCACAGAGAATGAATGTCGCGCCCTGCCTTGGTAAGCTCTCGGGGCAGCCCAACTGGTTAGAAAAGCAGTGTCAGGAGAACCACGGGATGCAAGTAGCCCCCCCACACCCACCTCCAAAGCTGATACCCCCATCCCCACCACGACAAGGAGTGCAATAGAAAGCGCGCCGCATGCAGCCCTGGGGACTGCAGCTAGCAGCGCTCTTTACTTGTACCCGCCACCATATCATCCGCATGTAGTGGAGTCCCCCAGGACTCATGGAGTTGCAAGCTTGCAGGAATGTTAGGATGATCCAGGGCACCGACCCCCAGATCACCAGAATTCTTAGGGTGCGTCGCGTGAGCCCTCCGAAGCTGAACCCGCCCAAAATCATCCTGAGATCCCCTGGGGAGACTCCCAAGGTACGTCCAATGAAGCACAGGAGGCCATCGGGAGCTTCGAGAGGCCCCAAAGGACCCCAACAGGCACACAGGGGTATACAAGAGCCTCCTAGCAAGGCTCCAAAACGTTCCCAGAAAGGCCCCGAACAGCCAAAACTGGCGAAATGCTATATGTTGTATGCTTCGTCTGTCCAGCTTCCCTGCTCAACATGTTTTCGAGACGGCTTCAGAGAACTCCACGACTGCCCAAGAGGGCCAAAAGAACCACCCAATCCGGCCTAAGATGGCTCAAGAGTGTCGCCCAAGAGGTCCTAAGATACTCCGAGAATGCACCCACGAGTCCTCCAAGGCGCCCCCAAGAGGCCCTAAAGAAGCCTCCAAGAGGCCCAAAAGAGATACCAAGAGGCCTCTAAGACGCCTCTGGCCGACGACCAAAGCACAATGGTGGGATGAGCCGAAGGCCACTAGGAAAGCTGCAGTGCTCTATGAAGTACTGCGGCGTCGAGTGCGGAACAATGGAGCGCGTACTGTTGGACGGTGGCGGGTGAAGTGCTACTATATAGACTTGCCATGCAACCAAGCAGATGGAAACAGAGATGAGGACCAGAGGAGATCGTGAAGGGGACGATGACGTACAGGACTGCCCTACTGGACAGTGCAACCGAGCCTCCAACCTCGCATCTTCTTTATGATCCTCTCCCTCCTCATCCGCATCCTCATCCTCCTCATCATCGTCATCATCATCACATGATCACCATCATCATCATCATCATCATCATCATCATCATCATCATCATCCTCATCATCATCATCATCATCATCATCATCATCATCATCATCATCATCATCATCCGTAACATCATCATCATCAGCAGCAGCATCATCATCATCACCATCATCATCATCATCAGCAGCAGCATCATCAGCAGCATCGCCATCTTCATCAGCATCATCATCGCCATCTGAATCATCATCATCATCATCATCCTCATCATCATCATCGCCATCATCATCACCATCATCACCATCATCATCATTCATCCCCCTCCTTTCATTCCCTCACAAACCGCCACCTCATCCCCCCGCACCTCCTCCTCATCCTTCTCCTCATCCTCCTCCTCCTCGTCCTCCTCCTCCTCGTCCTCCTCCTCCTCCTCCTCCTCCTCCTGCCCCCGCCCAGCCCCGCCAAACACTCCACGCACGGGACCCCCAGCCGCTCCCTGCGGCCACCTCGGGGCCCTTGCTCTTGTAAGTCTTGTCGACAGCCTTCTTGAACATCGAGATCGCCAGATCCGCGTCCATCACCTGAGCACGGCTTCGCGAAAGCCTGCAGGCGTCGCTGCGACATCGGAACTCGAGGCACCGATTGTCGACGTCGCACGAAATGCAACGCAACTCACGGCCTGCCCGTCTCGTACCCTGGACACGCAGCGGAGTGCCCCCAGGCCCACACAGCCATCAGCGGCGGGGGGATTGCAGGTTCTCAAGGACCCAGACCCCCCATCTGCCCGAGTTCTCGGGCGCTCTCGGAGTGCAGCGCGTGTGAGTCCAAGCTTGCCGATACGGGTTTCAGACTTCTCGGCCTCAGAGGGTGCGCCGGGGCCAGATGCCCAGGACATCCCCAGCCCAAGACGACCCGAGGGCCCCCGAAGAGGGCCACAAGAGGCGGCCAGAGGGGCCCCGCAGGCCCCCAAGGAGGCCCCAAAAGGCCATCCTGGAGACCCAGGCGAGGAGCCTGGGTGAGCCGCAGGCCACCGCAGAACCTGTCGGAGGGCAACCATCGCCGATAACTATACAGATATACCTGTGCACACAAGAGACTGCATTGGCGCTTCGCGCCATGCACCTTGGTCCCTCGCGTCTAACAAACAGGCTGAATGGGAGAGAGGTTGATCAATCAAAACAGCGATCACTCTTGGTGCAATCTGCGCAGGCATCATTATCATGTTGTTGTTCCTTATTATTATTGTTATTGTTCTTACTACTCATACTACTATTATCATTATTGTTTCCTCGAATGTCCTCTTCCTCTTCCTGTTCCTCGTTCTGGCCTTGATTGCCCAACGACCCCTTCCCCGTCCTCCTCGGGGGCGAGCTTCTGAAGGACCTCGCGAAAGCTTTTTAGGGGCTCCTTGGCGCATCTGGAGACGTCCCTGGCGCACTTTGGCGGCCTCTGGGGGCTTCCTCGGGCCACCATGCAGCGAACCGTGATCTCGAGTCACGGTTTGAATGCTTTCGGAGGGCGTCTTGGAGCAATTTTGGGCCGTCATGGGGCTATCTGCGTGCAGTTTCTGAGCCCTCTTGGGCTGTCTTGGGGCTCTCTTGGAGTGTCAGGAATACTTTTCGGCGTGGAGCGGTTTTGGGTGCCTCTCGGGAGTTCTCGGACGCCCAGAAGGCCGAATAACATAATAGCCCGAAATCATACAAAAACCAGCAGACAATCAAACTTCTTGTGTTTCGAAAGCCATTTGGGGGTGATAATTGGGCCGTCTTCGGGCATCTGGCGGGGGTCCAGGGCTCCTGGAAGCCATCTTGGACCGTCTTGGAAATTCTCTTTGGACCGCCGCCGACCCGATTGCACGGCTTGGCAGGGACTTCCAGAGGCCCGGAAATCTCACGGGATCCTCTGAGATAGCATCCACAAGCCCTGGATGCCATGGATCCCGTTTCGGGGAAGGGGGGGGTCCGCACCAGGCAGATAGCTAAAAGTAGATGGAAGGGATACACGTAAAGTGACAAACAGAAATGGACATACATACATACATACATACATACATGCATGCATGCATGCATACATACAGACAGACAGACAGACAGACACACAGACAGACAGACAGACAGACAGACAGACAGACAGACAGACAGACAGACAGACAGACAGACAGACAGACAGACAGACAGACGTACATGCATGCATGCATGCATGCATGCATGCATGCATGCATGCATGCATGTATACACACATAGATACATGCATACATACATGCATGCATGCATACAGACAGACAGACATATAGACAGGCAGCTAGATCTAGACATACATAAATATATACATAAATGCATGCATACATACATGCATACATGCATGCGCATATCTATATATATATACACATATACATGTACATGCACATACAAAAAAATGCATATACCTATACATATGCACATGCAGATGCATATACATATACGTACACCTGTACATATACATATGCATGTGCATGTACATACATGCACAAATGCATACACATACACATGCACGTGCACATACACATACACATGCACGTGCACGTGCACGTGCGCATGCACATGCACATACAGATACACATACACATATACATACCTGCATACGTGTATACATACATACATGTGTGTGAATGTATGTATGCATGGATGCATGCATGCATGTATGTATGCATGGGTGTATGCATGTATGTATGTGATATCATGTTATGTTATGGTATGATATTATGTACGCATTCATGTGTATATATATATATATATATATATATATGTGCGCGTGTGTGTACGAATGACTGCATGCGTGCATGCATGCATGTATGCATGGATGTGCGTATGTGTGTGACTATGCATGCATGAGTCTTTGTATATGCATGTGTGCTTGCATGTATGTTTGTATGTATTTACGTACGTACGTACATATGTCTGGTTGTATGTATGTATGTATGTTTGCATGCGCGTATGCGCGCATGCGTTAATGTATGTATGTGTATAGATGTGTATGTGTTTGTGCGTATGTGTATATATGTGTGTCTGCATGTATGTATGTATGTATGTATGTATGTATGTATGTATGTATGTATGTAGGCAGGTAGGTAGGTATACACACATGTACATAAAAAGAGAGAGTCAGAGAGACAGGGGGAGAAAGAGAGTGAGACAGAGAAGAGAAAAAACGAGAGAGCCTGTTTTCGCACGTTGTGAAACGCATCTACGTATGCAATCCACCTGCGCCCTGGCTGTCTGGCCCTACCCGCTCCAACGGGGACCCAACAGGGGTTCAACAGAGTCCACCGAGATGCAGTTGACGCGCAGCGACTCTCAACCCACATGTATGTTATTATATTTCGCCTGCCCCTTACATGATCATATTTCTAAGCACGTTGGACCACAATGCCCAAATAAGAAATTGGACAGCAACAAGCAGCATACATGCGCGCAGACGATAGCATTCGAACGACTCATCCTCGCAGGAGTCTCTCGCACCTCTTTCACGCAGCAGCAGCGAACTGCGAGGTCCCGAACATGTAACGACGATGTGATAAGGGCGGGGCGAGCGAGGCGAGCGCACGAGTTCGGTCCGGCGGAACCGGCCCTCATAGGGCGGCGCGGGGGGGCCAGAGCCCTCAGGAGACGTGCTAAGGGCAGGAATCAAAGCCGGAGCCGGAGTCGGAGAGATGGATGGGAACTGGAGTCGGAAAGGTGTGAACAGGAGTCGGAGAAACGACCAGATGTGATAAGGGGAGCGCTCCCAATAACAGTGACCCGCGGAAAGAGGAGAGACCCTGGGCAAATCTGCAAGACACAGCCCAGTCTCAGCACAGCTGATATGCAGACATTGAAAAAGACGTCACAGCCACATGCATATTATATTCGGCTTGGTGTAGGTCGATGGTGCAGGCTGGCATGTCTCCCAAAAAGTAGGAACGTGTTCGACGCACGGCCACCTGGGCCAAGTGGAAGAAAACAGTCTGCATGATGTTGTTGATCATGCGCCCCATCCCAGCCTTGCGTGCCACACCCGTCGCATCGATGTTGTACAGGACGAATCCTGCGCGGCTGCCGCGACGACACCCCCGAATCGACGCAAGCAGGCAGATGAGCGCCCGCGGCGACGCCCCCGCTATCTGAGGAGCAGGGGGTGCAGCAGCTGCAGCAGCAGTAGCCTGACCAACGGCAGCTTTGCTACCCGGATCAGGTCTGAGCGGGGCCAAGGCCGACCCGACTGCTCACACCAAAGGCCGCCCTGCTGACCTTCCAGGCAGGCCACTCACTCAAGAATCAGTCGACGCTCTTGAGCTCTGGCAGCACTGCGCGGGCGAGACCACATCGTCCCCTCCTCCACAAAGGAGGAGGGAGAGGAGGACAGCGAGGAGCAGCGGCAGCACCGGCAGCATGCGGTGAGGGGCCGCTGTCACCGCCTGCCCCATCAGTGTGTCTGTTTGCCCAGGCTGCCCCCAAGACGACCCAAGAAAGAGAGCCCCAGGAGGCCACCAAGACGGCCACAGAGGCCCCCAAGGTCTGCCCAAGAGGGCTCCGAGATGGGCCAAGAAGCTGCCAAGGCGGCCTAAGAGGCAATAGAGGCAGCCTGCAAGGCCCCGAGAGGCCTCAGAGATCCAAAAGAGAACGCAAGGAAGGTATCAGACCGCCCGACACAACTCAGAAACTCACGTTCAATGTTTTTACCTCCCAGAGATTTCGGCGAGAGGCAAGAAGGAGGGGGGAAAAAAACAAAACAAAAGAATGCCAACCCAGATATCTGGAGTCTGTTTCCTCGTGACGTGGACCCCAGAGCTCTCAGACCCCTCCCTGGGGCATGGTTTTGATCCTGGGGAAGGTCCTGGGCACGAAATGGGCCTCTAGAAACCGAAAGTGTAGAAACATGCTGTCACGATTTTTTGGAGACGCACGGATCTGAGGGAAGGAGGCGACCAAAAGACCAAGATGGCCAAAGACGACGGACCCAAAAGACTGCAGCCCGCAGGGACCCCCAAGATGGCATAGTGCTGGCCCCAGTGGCATCCAAGAAGGCCCAATGATGACGAAACAATATCTTCAAGTATACTCCCGCTCCAGAAACCCTGAAACGACCCCAAACCAAATTTTTGCAACTTTGGACCCCGGGAGCGCTCGACCCCTTCCCGAGGACCGATTCTTCACCCTGAATTGTTTTAAGGTTCAGGGGCCCGTCAAGGGCCACCCAAGGACGAAACTTCTACAAAAACCTTCTGTCCTCGCGATGCGGGTTGGGTCCAGCAGCTTGGCCAGATTTGGGCCCAACGTATGCATAGCGATTCTCCAAAAAGGCGTCGACGCGGTGACTCGACTGATGCGCCTTCGATTCTTACTCTCCATTCTCCTCTTCCTGTCAAAGTGTCCATGCTTGCGTACAGGGGGTCCGTTTGAGCCCAAGACGACCTCCCGAACCAAACATTAGTGCAGCAGCACAGCAAGGGAAGGAACACTGGCGAGGCAAACTTTCACTCTCAGGACCCCAGGAGCCCTGCCTCACTCACGACTGTGGCGGTCAGGGAAGACTCCTGTGGCGAGGGGGAAGGAAGGGAAGGGAGAGGGGATGGGCCTCACGCCAATGTCCGCGCACTGGCGCCATTTTCGGCGCGGTCTTGTGCTGGGACTCAGGGACAGGCTCGTCGAGGGCGGGGCAAGGGACTCCGCCGACCCCTTTGGTGTCACCAGGCGTGTGAGACTATCCCCTCCAACTGCCCCCCTGCACCGATCCGAAAATCCAAGACCGTGGATTCTAGGAAAAGCTAGGTCGGCGGCGAGCCTGGGGGGGAAGTGAGAAGGGGCGGGCCCTCTCAGAAGGCTCGGAAGTCCCCCGGCCTTCTGAGAAATTTCTTGAGCTGTCCGCGAAGACACAGAAAGCTTCTGAGAAGGCCAGAGGGATTTTGAGAAGTCCCGCCGCCTTCTGGAAAGGCCTTCCCCTTCTCGCTTCCCCCCCTCGCTCGCCGCCGATTCGGGGAGCGGGGGTACCGGCAGGGAAGGTCCGAAAGGCAATTTTCCCTTACAACCCTCTCGGGCCTCAGAGAGCCCCAGGAGGCCGCCGGGACGTCCCAAGCGACCTCCAAGAAAGGATAAGGAGTCCCACGAGACCGAAGTAGCACACGAGAGGCTTCCCGAGACGTCCCAAGTGGATCCACGTTTTAGCACGTTTGCTTTGCATGGTCTTCGGCGCGATCCCACAGGAGCGCACAAGAGGCACAGAAAAGAGCGCCCAAGAGGCACAGAAAACGCACAGACTCCTTGCGCCCGGAGAGCCTCGGGCCCCACAAAACGTACGGGCTCCCTTCGCCAGCGAGCGGCCGCACAAAACACACGAGGTCCTTTCGCCTGTGAGCCTCGGGCTTCGCAAACACGAAGTGGCTCGTCTCACTGGTGAACCTCGGGGCCCACGAACCTCACCTGATGGGCCTGTCTTTCCACCACCACCAACATAAGTTGGAGGGGCAGGGGGTCCTCGGTCCTCCTCCTCCTCCTCCTTTTCCTCCTCCTCCTCCTCCCTCCTCCTCCTCCTCCTCCTCCTCCTCCTCCTCCTCCTCCTCCTCCTCCTCCTCCTCCTCCTCCTCCTCCTCCTCCTCCTCCTCCTCCTCCTCCTCCTCCTGTGCACACGCACGTCCTGGCCAGGCCCACCCCGGGCCCCCTGGCACGACCCGTGGCACGCCCCCATGGCACGACCCGTGGCACGTCCCCACACGGCCCCGGACACGTCCCCCGGCTCGCCCCCCGGGACACGTCCCGCGGCAGGGCCCCGGACACGGGCCCGGAAACTGGGCACGCTGGGGGTGCAACAGCTGGGCGCACCGTCGTCTGGGCCTGGGGCGCACGAGCGTCGGGCGGGGACACGCGGAATGCACCTGGGACCCCCCCCCTCCCCTTGGGACGCGCTACTGTCTGGCCCGGGACACACAAGGGATGCGAAATCGGCAGCGAGCCCGGATCTCCAAGACGGAAGCCACTGACACCCGAGGGAAGGATTTTCCTGACTATGCTGTGAAAGGTGGCTATATGGTATTAAAAGTACCCTATTAAAAGTACCCTGGCCGCTGCTTAGGGGGTACCCAGGAGCCGACGAAAACAAAAACAAACAAAAAAACGAAGCGCGTGGAGGGACCCTTTGACTAAGCAGGGCATGTGACGAGTGGTTTCGCACACGCGTTGGGAAAATGCGCTGCGAGCGCCGACCTGACAGGAGCGGTCCTCGAAGCCTCTCCCACTGGCCTGCAGCACCTGCACAGAATCCATATGCCCAGACACTTTGAAGGAGCCCTGGGACACACAAATAGATAGACACAAATAACCGAACTCCCAATATTTTCCTATATTTTCTGGGTTTTTGTCTTCCCCCCCACTTCCCATATTTTCTCATATTTTCTGGGGAATCGACGATGAATTGTCTCTGTGTGTTTCTTTCCCTCCTGATACTTGTGCAGAAGCCGATCCATATTACCATCGGCGGCGAGCGAGGGGTGGAAGCGAGAAGGGAGAGGGCCTTCTCAGAAGGCGGCGGGACTTTTGAGAACCTGCCTGCATATTCGGGAAAGGCTTAGAAAAACCTCTCAGAAGGCCCGGGGGATTTCAGAGCCTTCTGGGGATGTCTTCTCCTTCTCATTTCCCCCCCTGGCTGCCCGGCGATACCAGCAATGTTGAAGAAGTGCGGCACACACTTTTTCAGTCTGCGGCGCAAAGGGTCCTCCAGCGCGAAAACACACACAGACACAAACACACACACAGACACAGACACACACAGCTTTTGGCGTCGCGGCCACGCGCGCAGCAGCGCAACGGGCGCAGCGGAGGCAGAATCAGGCAGAGGCCGGCAGGAGCGCGGGCTGGCCCGCGGCACATGCAGCGGGAACCTGCCGGGTCAGCTCGTGGGGGGACCACGCGACGTGACTCTCGGGCGGGCTTCCGCGGACAGGGGCGAGAGAAGAACGACAACAGGGCGAACCCACGCACACACACGCACACACACACACACACACACACGCAGACATACTCACACAATCACACACACACACACACACACACACGCACTGACACGCACGCACCATCGTTCCTCCGACGCACCGCTGGCAGCACTCAGCAGGCAACGTAAGAAAAGGCAGAATACACGCTAAGCAGACCGAGCGCCATGTGTGGTTGTGCGTATCGAGCTGACAACCTTGGTGCAGCCCGAGTGGAACCGCCAAGCGGCAGAGACTGACGGTGCAGGACACATCCACACACACACACAGACACACACGCACACACACGCACACACGCGTTTCCTCCAGCGGCGAGGTGGCGGCACAGCCGCGATGCGCTAAGTGAGGTCATGCTGAGGCGAATTTACCACCTGGCGTAGCGGATGGGCGGTCCTGGATGGGCACACACGCGTACACATTCACACACGTACAAACACGTACACACACATACACACGCACACATACACGCACACACACACACACACACACACACACACACACACACACACACACACACACACACACACACACACACACACACGCACACACACACACACACACTTGAGAATAGTGTTTGCGCTTGGAGCCAAGAAGGCCCATGCTCACTGGGGCCCTGACCGATCACCCCTGCGCAAGTGCACCCCACATCGGCTCAAGAGAATAAACAAGGATCAGAGGAGCGAGGGCCATCCTTTGGCTACGATGTACTGGCGGAACGAGAGGGGCAGGTTCTGCTTCAGGAGCTCAGCAGTCGTCCAAGGTGAGTTGAGGACCAGGATGCCTGCAAAAGCAAGACGGCTAGGCACGATCTGAAGACGGAGGGTCAGAGGCTGATGGGTGGAGGAGTGGCAGATCTTCACCCATCCCTCCCCGAACTACGAAAGCTCGTTCTCCCTCCTCCTCCTTCCCGTCCGTTCTCCTCCTGATCCTCCACGGCTGTCCAAAAGCATCATTGCTTCTTTTCATTGCAAGTTGGACGAACGAATCGAACGTTCGAATTGATTGCATCGAACCCGTGGAGTTGAGTCGCCCTGAGGGGGCCAGAACTAATCAAAGCGGCGAATGCCACTCGCAGACTTTTGCACACATCATCGAATATATCGAAGCGTGGACGGTTGCGATGAAGTAGAGGGGCAAGCGCAAGCACGAGAGGGGAAAGGGGAAGCCAACTAGCCTCCCAGGTGGGAGTCACAGGAAGAAGGTCCGCCTGGTACACCAGGAGTCGGATGGAAGCCGTCCGCGTGTCCCCTTGCCACGGCTACCTTGACCGCCTGGATCTGCCACAGTGCTGGCACAGTACTCGCCATGATTGTCGCCACTGCTCTTGAGCACAATCCTCGCCGCCGCTTGTGCAAAAACGCATAAGTTCACAGCCTTCGGGTAGGCACTGCTTTAGCACACAAACACACACACACACACACACACGCAAAAACAAACGAAAGCACTCGGCCACGGACAGAGTTTGACTTCATGGGGGGTCCCTTGCCCTGCAGCCCGACGGCGTCGCCGCGTCTTCAGGATAACAATCGCTGTCATCATATGCGCCATCGCCGTCATCGTCGCGACATCGGCGCGAACATGAGGACCGTCATCACCACCGTCATCATCATGATCATCACCATCATCATCGTCATCATCAGCATCAGCATCATCATCATAGTCATAAGCATCATCAACATCAGCATCATCATCATCAGCATCATCATCACCACCATCGTCATCACCATCATCATCGTACTCAGTAGAACCAGCATCATCATCATCATCAGCATCATCATCATCACCATCATCATCATCATCATCATCATCATCATCATCATCATCGTCAGCATCATCATCAGCGGCAGCATCAGCATCCTCATCATCATCAACATCATCAGCAGCATCATCAGCAGCAGCTTCATCAGCATCATTTGCATCGTCACCGCCAGCATCAGCATCAGCATCAGCATCATCAGCAGCATCATGATCAACACCATCATCAACGACATCGTAATACAAATCATCAGCATCAGCATCCTCATTATCACCGTTATCGTCGCAGCCATCATCATCATCAGCAGCATCATTAGCAGCATCATCATCAGCAGCAGCATCATCACCTTCACCACCACCGTCACCACCACCACCATCATCATCATCATCAGCAGCAGCAGCATCTTCCTCCTCATCATCATCAGTATCGTCATCTTTGTCGTCATCGCCGTCGCCGTCGCCATCGCCATCGCCATCGCCATCGTCAGCATCATGTTGGCCATCGCCATCGCCATCGCCATCGCCGTAGCCGTCGTCAGCATCATGTTGGCCATCACTATGGCCAATGGCCGTCGCTATCGTTTCCCTCAATAGAATTCCATCAGCAGCACCACCGCAACTGCTACCATAGCCATCATCGACAGCACCACGATCATCGCGGTCGTGTCGCACTCGGGCGTCGTGCGCGCTCCCCTGCCGTCGTACCAACGGGGAGAAACGAGGTCGCACTCAGAGGACTGCACTTAGATGCTTTAGCCGACCAACCAGGATGGCGGTGATGCGCCCCACGACCACACGTGCAAAGCCTCGCTGCCCGAGGCCACCCACCGAGGCGCCTCCAGGCTCGAGGCAGCTCAGCATGGACTCGGCGGAGAGCGACCTCACCTCGGCAGGCAAAGACGAGACAGCGGGGAGCCCAGACGCCTTCTGGGATGATACTGCCGACCGTGACCTCCACAGCTCCCGTCACACATCACGGCCATCAGAGGGGCACCGCATGTTACTGCCCTCCCTCAAGAACATACCTATCACACATTGCGCCCAGATCGAGCCTACGGAGGAGAGAGGGCCACTGTTGCGGCGCCGCGGGACCCGAGTGAAGCAGCTTGGCATGCTACAGCCCTCTGTGAGATGACGAAGCGGCATGTCACACATCACGGCTCCCTGGGACCCTGGAGACCCATACATCCGGCCGCTCCAAGAGCTCAAGTTCTTTTGAAACCATACAACGCGCGTTGTGTGGCTGGGTGGGCGGGTGGGTTCGCTAGCACATAACGTAACACGGTGCGCGCGCACCACGAACAGCACACCTGTGCGCTAAACAACATGCGCTGCTGCAGCGGTGGGGGGGAAGCGCAGGGCGTTATGTCAGCCACTGGGTGGGTGGGTGGGTTGGAGGCCACATAACGCGAGTTGTGTGTTGCGTCGGATCTCCGGGGAGAGAGCGCACGCGCGGTTTGCCAGGAGCCCAGCAAGGCGCATTCCTTCTTGCAGATCCAATAGCAAACACGGCCTCACAGCAAGCAGTAGGTCCGTAGTCGTTGTGGCTCGGTGGGTCTTGAGGTAAATCCCAGGACGCTAAGTGGCGCTCAACCAGGCTAGGCCCACCTACATTACTGAAACTTCATCTATGAATGTCGAGTGGGAAAATCATATGATCATCTCGGGCAGGTGTGTTTCATCTTGAGCCCAGCTAGACGTACTCCTTCTTGTGGATCCCAACGTACTTCGCCCCCGCGGTGATCTCGTAGCAGCTCTTGATGGGCTTGGGCCCAAAGCGCAGGAAGGAACAGGTGATGCCGCCGGCCTGGGCCGCCGCGCGAAGAGAAGGAGGAGATGAGGCACTGCGGCACTATTTATCTCATTTCATCTGGTTCGCGTCGCGATGTCGCGAGCGTTGGATTCTGACCCCGCGTGGATCGTTCCACCTTTAACAGTCGCAGCTCTCCAGTACCGCAGATCGTTCTAAATGGGCCGGTTCTGGGCTACTGGCGGCGTTCAACATTGAACGTCCGAGCAGGTGTTGACACCTCCTCCTCCTCCTCCTCCTCCTCCTCCTCCTCCTCCTCCTCCTCTGCCTCCTCTTCCTCCTCCTCCTCCTCCGCCTCCTCCTCCTCCGCCTCCTCATCATTTTCCTGGCATTCGATTTACTCCGCACCCTCAGTGCCCCTCCTCCTCCTCCTCCTCTTCCTCCTCCTCCT